ACGGCCAATCCACGGCAACTTGCTTTGTGTATCCAATGGATTGCCCCCAATATCCGATTACCTTCTTCCATGACACGGAGCATTCTTAGTTTTGATGGTTATGGTGGATCGCCGTGTCGTTAGTTATGTTCACAGATTAACTCCCTGCATCCCGTGTCTTCTTTCAGTCTTCTCATTCAGCGGCCTCTATTACCGCGATGGAACTCGCGGACAAATGGCTCAGGAGTCCTTAGCTTGTTCCTCGTTAGGTTGGATTTAGCTTTCTTATTCCCAGAACACACTTTGTTTGTAGCTTATTATACGACTACACTTAATGTAGTCGACATGACTGTTTCCCTCAGCAGCTCTTTACGCTTCGGTTTTCTCCTTCTTCGGTTTGTAGGCATGTTCATTGCCTTGGGTCTTTCCGGTGTCATACCGTGCCTTCATTACGCCCTGATGGAGGGTTTCTGGGAGACTGTGACCTCACCGGCTCTCGGTTGGCTTGTACTGATGGCTTTCCTCTACATCTCAGGGGCAGTGATTTATGCCATGCGCATACCCGAACGTCTCTACCCAGGAAAATTTGATATCTGGGTAAGTGTGATGAATAAAAAGTAAATTCATCCTGCCTGCTTAACCATTCCCATATGTGTCTGAAGTATGCTCGCCTGATCAAGGGCGGAACTCCTGTCCGCCCTGCAAGAACTGCGTTTTTTTGCAAAAAGGACCCCCAGCGATTTGTGGGTTAGCTAACCGAGGAGAATAAGGCAATCGGGGTTTGAATGTCCAAGCGACTTGCGTGGTTACCATACGGCTTGCGCACCACCCTGGGCAGTGGAAAACTTGCGCTGCTGAACCAATCACGAGACAGGGCAGATGCAGGGGGCACCACTGTCAGTGACTGGTTCCCATTATATTAACCGGTATGTCGTACTCCCCCAAACCTGCGCGGTTTCGCGAACACGCCTTGTCGGCGACGAACACCTTTATTGTGGCCTTCGTGTTGCCTGACACAGCAGTCGCCGTAGGACCTCCTAATAGGTACGGGCAACGAACCGACAGTTCAACCGTCGCTCTCGACGATGTCCACCTCACGAGCTTCAGCAAGCTGAAGGCAGATGCGGTGACTAAAGCTGAATTATAGTAAAGGTAGATTCACCGGATCTACCCCACTCTCTGACCACTTCCGCACCTGAACCCTGTGTCAAGACAGAAGT